CCTAATCATAGCAATGGCCTCCCACCTACTAGCGATGCCCTCCCACCAAATAGCCATGGCCTCCAACCTACTAGTGATGGCCTCCCACCTAATAACGATGGCCTCTTACCTAATAGCTATGGCCTCTGACCTACTAGCGATGGCCTCCCACCTACTGGCCATGGCCTCCAACCTAATAGCGATGGCCTCCACCTATTAGTGATGGATAGCAATGGCCTCCAACCCAATAGCAATGGCTCCAGCCTAATTGCGATGGCCTCAAACCTACTAGCGATGGCCTCCAACCTACTAGGAATGGCCTTCCACCTCTAGCGAAGGCCTCCAACCTATCTGCGATGGCCTCCCACCTACTAGCGATGGCTCCAACCTAATTGCGATGGCCTCCAACCTCATAGCGATGGCCTCCCACCTACTACTAGCGATGGGCTCCCACCTACTACTAGCGATGGGCTCCCACCTACTACTAGCGATGGCCTCCCACCTCTTTAGCGTTGGCCTCCAACCAATAGCGATGGCCTCCCACCTACTAGCGATGGCCTCCAACCTAATAGCCATAGCCTCCCACCTACTAGCGATGGCCTCCAACCAAATAGCGATGGCTTCCCACCCAATTACTAGGGAGGGTTATTTTAAGATATTTTAAGTGGGATGTTTGTGGTTGTTTTTTGTTTTTAGTTGTTTTGGCTTCTGTGGCTTTTGTGGCTTCTGGCTTTTGTGGCTTTGTGCTTCTGTGGCTTTTGGCTTTTGCGTCTGTTTTACTGTTTTATGACTATTTTGAAATATCTTGTTTTAAGGAGTTTTCTATTGCATTTTTGCTTTTGATGACTCTTGTAGACAAAACCTCTACTTGCAAAGCCTTTCCCATTGAGAACCACACAGACCACAAAAAAAAAAAAACACTACACAGTTAAATTACCGATTAAAGTCCCGACCCAATTACTAGCGATGGTCTCCAACCTAATAGCGATGGCCTCCAACCTAGTAGCGATGGCCTCAAACCTAAAGGAAAGTGACGTCTTAAGAATCAAGCGTTTGATTCTTGCAGCAGTTGAATCGGAGCTGAGGCACTGCTTCGAAACAAGATCAATTACAGCGACAAGATGGAGCGGAAGACCAACAAAATGACTGACAAGTCTGACAGCAACAAAGTCCCTGAGAAGGCGGACAGCAACAAGATGACCGAAAAGTCTCAGGGCAGCTCTGCTGCAGATGTTGCCTCCGTATTTGCGCATCTTGTACATTTCATTTCACTACCTTGCTATTTATAGCATTTTATAGCTGTGTGTGATTGTGTTCGATGCCGGCAAGCCATCACATTTCCCCAAGCTCAAGCGAGTCTTACGACGCGGGCAGTATGCTGAATTCCTTCTACTCGCCCCATCCATCATCATTGTATTAGAGTTGGTTGCGAGGCATTTTCACAAAAGATGATACCGTACAGCAACAGACCAGAACAAGAGACCTTTGCACAATGCAGTAAGTTGATACCCTGCTGAATTTTGAACCAGAGAGCACTGAGAGTACTAAGAGGCATAAAACTGCATGGTGGAAAAGGTCATCCTCTCTTCTTCAAACATGTTTTTGGTTTGACAGTGCTTTGAACGTGTGGCCGGCAAAATCACTGAGGAAATGCTGCGAGTTTGGATGGAGCATACTCTAGATCCTCAAGCCGAGTTTCTTTGTTTGATTGAGCCCCCAGTTTTGTTTGTTCTACTGTATTGCTGAGTGTGCTTCTAGGAGCAAAGGGCATCGCTACTGGTAACAAGGGCATTACTACTAGGAGCAAATAGCTACTAGGAGCAAGGACGCTACTAGTAGCTCCTGGCCTTACTACTAGGAGCAAGAAGCTACTAGTAGCAAAGGGCGTTACTACTAGGAGCAACCAGCTACTAGGAGCAAGAAGCGTGTGAAGCTCTTTGAGGCGAATCGCAAAGAAGTGACGTTAGTTGATGTTCCAAAGCCACCAGCCGCTTGGTTAGGGCCCACCATTCCAGAAGTCAAGTTGAGAAGCCGAAGTGCTTGAGCCGGGGAGGCAGAACTTTGCTGGTCGACTGTTCAGTGATCATCAAGATTCCTTAGATCAGATCCATGTGTTCCGTGCAGCAGGTGGTTGCAGATATTGATAAGGTGCCAAAAAAAACATCCACGGCAAATGCAGTTGATGCGTCAGCACGACTCAAACGCAAGTCACACAGATAGACTGACGAGAAAAAGGCTGCAAATGATTCTGCAAATGCATTTCCTTCCTGTTGTGCTGAGGAAGTGAAGGATCGGCCAGCTCCGCCGCACGTATCCTCCTTGCCTTCGATGCCTCATCAGATGTCTGAGGACCTAGACTACCTAGACCTCGATCAAACAAGAACTACTTTCCCCATTTCTTCACAAGCGTATACATCTGTGACAAAGTAGCCTTTGGATGGAATTGTACAATAGACCGGCATGTGCAGTTATATGCTGTTGGTTCTTGCAAATGTTCTGTGCAGGATTCCACCCCCTTGGCTCACCTCAACCCTCGGATCGATGGCACTATCGGAGCTGCAAGCCAGTGGAAACACGCTACCAAGAAGTTGCAGGCTGTACAGGTGATGATTCCACCGCTGCTTGACATGTTTTGTATTCGTGTGCGTGGTATAGATTTGTGTTTGAAGTGTTTCAAAACCAGTCAAGCTTGAAATGTTCTCAGGAAGAAGGGCGACAACCCCTCAAAGACTGCCATGGCATCTGCAAAAATGTCAAAGAAGTTTGACTTTTTGCGTGCAAATTCAGACAAAGCACTCAAGAGTTGCCCATGGTTGGATCGGGTAGCCGGTGGAGTTGGCGCTTGCTTTGGAGAGATATATCAGGTTTTGGAGTTGTTCCGTGAATGGGTCAGCAAGCTTGAGGAGCCGCGTAGGACTTCATGCCTTGGCCAAGCCATTCGACATCAAGCTTTCGAGGCTGCAGTCTTGCTGACAGTGGTGGCCAATAGCATTTACATTGCCTACGAAACAAATTACCACATGGCCACGCTTGGGCAGCAAGCTGTGGAATTTGATGAAACCGCGGTTGAGATTTGCTTCTTGGCATTATTCACCATGGAGATTGCTCTCAGAATGTTCGTACATCGGCTCTATTTCTTTGTGAATGATGACTGGTTATGGAACCTGATGGACACTGGCTTGTTGTGTCTGGCATATGTCGATCAAGCATTGCTTCTGGGAGGGGCAGTTGGTAAAGTTGGCCTGCTGCGATTGCTGAGACTGGCGAGGCTTTTCCGAATCGTACGCGTTCTTCGCTACTTGAAAGAAGTCCGGGTCATGCTTGTGGCAATACTGGGTTCATTCCTATCTCTATTTTGGGCGTTGCTTATGCTGGCCGTGATCATTTTTATGTTTGCTATTTACTTCATGCAGCAGATGACAACATACCTCTCTATAACCCCATCTGATGACGAGCTGTGGTCATTGCAACTGGACTACTTTCAGAACACTGGTCGTGCCATGTACGTTCTGCTCATGGCAACAACTGGCGGAAAGGAGTGGGAAGAAGTGCCGCTCGAAGGAAAGACGGGGCAAGATAATAAGACAATCTGAACAACTGCCCAAGGAAGGATTAGAAAGCCGTGCTGCTCGCTGCTTTTCATGTCTTTTCTTGCTTCGGTTCAAGGTATTTGCTTCTCGCTCCTTTGGGCGCTGATTGTACCGTAGCCACTGAGCGGCATTAGAGTTCCTCTCGATATGACATGGCTTCCGAGCAGTACCAAAGCATTGCTACGGAGCCAGGTTTTGTCACTCCCAAACCCAATCGTTCAAACTCATTGAAAAATTGGCTTCCAAAAGCCGCTGGGCCTCAGTCCATTCCGCACCCCCTTTCCAGGCTAAACCTCGCAAAGCATGTTGGACTTGTCGCAGGATGGGGGCACACACACTCTCTGAGGGGTTGTGGCTCAACGATTTGACGCTCCAAGGCCTTCACATTCTACCTCCTGTTTTTTACATTGGGAGCACCAGACTCAGCCTGGGAATGTGAGCCTTTGGTTGTTGATCGTTTGTTCTGCCACTTGCTCGGTTCAGTTCTGGAACAGGTCCTCAATATTATCACAGGCGTCTTTGTGGAGAACGCATCGGTGCTTTTCAAGCCCGACGATCGCGAGGTTGGGTATTTTGAGGACTGTATCTCTGTCCAAATTCAAGATCGCTTCTGAGGCATTGCAGGAGTCTATGCGACAAGTTCAAGAGGACATTGAACAGGCCTGAGCTGTAATGCTTTGAAAGAAACTGCATTCGAGCTCGTGACTTGCAACTCGTTTGATGGTAGTACAGTACACAAGACTAGACATCTCCTGTTGGAGGTGACGGCAATCTTGGAAGCAATGGATGTGGATGGCTCTGGCATTCTTTCCACAAGACAGGTTATAGATGCTATGCAAGATGACATGTTTGAGCATGCCTTGCACACAATTGGCATAGATATCCGGATGCCGGAGCACTATTTTAATACGTTGTCATCAGTCACCGGGCAAGAAGAGCTTTCCATTGATGAATTTGTGGCGCACATAGTTCAGATGAAGGGCTCAGTGTCACGGCCAGACTTGCAGACGCTTACTCTTGAGACAGCTTTGCTACAGAAGCTTGGCATTCCTGGCTACTTTTTGGACCGTCCGAAGCCCTCATGAGTCTTCTGTGTACTTCTAGCCAAGGAGAGAGGTGCACAAACTGGGATTCGAATTGCATCGAGTCCTTTCACTCATTCAACAGTGTCTTGGAATGTCTTGGAATTTTTCCCATACCAATGGTTTTATCATGCGGAATATATTTGCTTCCTTGGATAAGGATGTGTGTGGAACAGGGTGAGATCAAGGTGGAAAGGCAAGAAGGCAAGATTCCTGGCTAGAAACAATATGTGCCAGAACGATTGATATATTGCTTTTCATTTCAATACCTTCTGCTTCAATCAAGAGAGTGACAAAGTTAACTTGCTTGTAAAGGCCCAGAAGAGGTGAAGAACAACAGTACCTTGAGGGAAGGTCTATACGAGGAGCCACTGAACAGCAAGAAGCTGGCTGATCCATATTTGAGAGTGTGAGATATCTCAGCAGGAAGTGATTGGTTTAGGCTGCAATAGTGGTGGTAGTGTTTATGCTCGGTTCTTATCTCTCGAGACTGAGCATTTTGTCCGGTCTCATTGTTCCAAAACCGATGCACTATGTTCCTTTCCAATCAGGAAATAGGCGAAGAGGAATGCTGCCTTGCGTGAACCGGAATGCCTTGGACACCATGGCGCTTCTGCAGATGAAAAGCTCTTGCTGCTTCAAAAGTGCATCCATAATGGTGAAAAAATTGGCTCATATCTTCTGAGTCTCGATGTGGGTGAAAGGCATCCTGTGTTGTCGCAGGTGGTTGGGAATAGAGTGCTCATGTCTCCCCACGTCCATCTTCACTCGGCGTTAGAGTTGTTGCAGCCAACTAAGCTGAATCCTGATTCGCGGCATCTCACCTTCTGGTTGGATTTGATCTGCCCATGCCGTCTGGGCGAGATGCCTCGATGTTTTTTGTAGACTTGGGATTCGTTTGTCCATTGTGCCTTTTGCTACTGGAGTGTGGAGTTCAGTCGTATCTTATGTCTAGGTTTAAGCGGTATCCTGTGAGCGGGTGCTTTGTAGGAACATTGGTTAGGACTCCATGTTTCATGACCCTATGAACCCGGGCTGAACGTTACTGTGCCACAATGCTTCGTCATGAGCCAACACCTACAGGGGGTCAAAATAATTACAGTACTTGATTTCATTGCAGTGTGCGCTTTATTCTCCTTCCAGACACCTGCGAAGCATGTGCTCATGGAGGTTCAGGATTGTTTGGGTGACTTTTTGCGAATGCGGTAACTTTACTCTGACGGGTTGCGCTCATGGGGATCCTTGACTTCACGCTGACATGTTTGATTTAACACTCAGTATTTGGGATCGGTCCAAATTCTCCACTGGGATATATACTGTATACGGGGAGCAGATGTGGGGTCGGTTCATCAATGGATTTGTCCTGTCGTCAAACTCTGTTGTCTCCGTTCCGTTTGCCCAAATCAAATCTCGGTTTCAATCTCTCTTTCCAGGCATTCCAGCCATTCAATGATTGAAATGCCGTTCACAATTTGTCAATGGGCCTTGGTCCTCAATTTGTTGCTCGTGCTGAAACCACTCATCCAACATGGCTCCAATCTTCTCCTGACGAGTCCATATCATTCTATATGTGTCCTTCGTCCGTTTGCAATCCAGCCTTTGCCAATCCACTGTTTGGGCCACCAAAGCTGGCTGGCAAAAATTCCAAAGGCCTGCTTTGTTGGAATCTGTCCCTTTTCTGTCAAGCACGCTTGAATGTTTCCTCCTCCATTGAATGTGTTTCACATTCTTCAGGGTGAAGGCTGATTGCAGACACTGCACTCGATTTTTGGGATATCCACACCCTTCGCCGTCAGGAGCTTTCCGGAGTCACAACCACTTAAAGAGCTCGGCCACACGTCGAGCTCTGAAAGATGCGAGGTCCCCTTCCAAATAAAGTAGTGATCCCCCTAGTGAAAGGTGCTGCAGGGAATCGGCGTTCCAATCGAACAATCGTCGGGTCGTTGCCGCTGTCCCTATGGCCACGGAGAATCCTGAGTAAATGGAAATGAAATGAAATGAACATGTTGCATTGCGTGCAATGGAGCCGCAAGTTGGGCGAGAATGCGTTTGCTACACAGCAAACAAGCTGTAGAAGCTGCGCCATAGTCAATACACATGGTTCCCTTGTTCATGCTGCAACTCAGCCGTCCTGTGGACTTAGGTTCCTAAAGCATCAGCGCGACATGCAGAAACGAGCGGAAGGACGAGGAAGCTCAAGTTTGTTCTCGGGCCCATTCAACTTCAGGGCTGTGACTTGTGCAGAACGCTAACAGCTTCGGGTGGTACTTAACAGATTCGGAACAAAACAACTTTAGCTTCTGTGAAGGGAAGACCTGCCCGCTTTGCAGCTGTCCGAGGTGATGCATAGCATGCGGAAAGTCGCCCCGAAGGATTTGTGGGCATCTGAAGCAGGGCATCACTCGACCAGCAGGGTTGCCGTGAGCTGGCAAAGAAGGATGAAGTGAAAAAGTAGGAGATTGGTTCAATCGAAATTGTATCGAACGAAGGAATATCCGAATATCCATTATGATTTGATGCGCGATTCCCTACTGACAGTTGGAAATGTTTCGGTATTTTTGGGCATGTTGCTGTGGCCAAGCCACTCACAGCACAATCTCCCAAGGAGAATGTTGCATCGCCAAGCTTTTTTGACATGTGCAGCTTCGCGAAAGGGAAAGTATGGCCAAGCTAGGTGTGCAGATGGTTGAGTCTCGGGTTCCTACCCATCAAAGGCCTTTTCATGTGAGTCGAGCACCACTGCATTCATGTGTCACGACCTTCACGGGATCTGTCCATGGTGGTGGATCTTGCTGTATCAAAAGCTGCATTGCAAGGATGAAGGTGGTGGTAGTTGTGATTATACTACTGTTTTTTGGCTTGGAACTTGGAGGCCATTGCTCTTAGGTTGGGGGCCGCTAGGTTGGAACTCAAAAGCAGACTGTTTTGTAAACTGTTTTTCATGTCATCCAATCTAATCATTTAATGTCTATCATTAAATCTTTGGCATCCTTTGGTGAGTCTTACTTCTCTCAGCTGGAGTGACATGTTAGCATCCGTGTTTGAAAGCAAATTTGCCACTTGGTAGTTAAGAGCCATTTGTTTGATATGCATTTGCAGGTCGACCTGGAAGCTGCCGCATTCAAGTCATGGAAAGAGGCCTGTTGCAGCGCCAGTACCACAAGTCCTTCATTTTGCCTGCGCCGCAGGTGCGTGAGGCTTGTGCTGCGGAGGTGGGTGGGTTGGGCGAGCATAGTGAAACGCCTCAAGTTCGATTGCTACTAGCTCCTAGTAGCGATGCCAGGAGCCCCTAGTAGCGTCCTTGCTCCTAGTAGTAAGGCCAGGAGCCCCTAGTAACTAGTAGCTTCTTGAAGTGGTTTCAATCAGTGATCGTCGCGATCTCATTATATATAGCATGTTGCTGCGGTTCTGAGGAGCTCTATGAGAACCCAGGTCCAATTCAACTGTCTGGGTCGATATCTCAGATAAAACATGTGAAAAAAAAGCAATATCGGTACATGATGCCAAGAGATTGGTATTGTACTTGTGTTCATGTTGTAGACAGCCAACTCTCATTTTGGCTATATATTTGTATCTACCCGGCATGGATCAGCCTCAATCAGCAAAAGGAAGAAGCGTTCACACTCTAAACGCATCAATGTGTTTTAACTGAAGTCTATGCATGTGACTGTCTCAACACTGTTGTGTTTCTGTTGTAGGTCCTGCAAACACTAAAATCATCCAAAATTCTTCAAAATCCAAGCATAGACAATTGGTTGTTGAATTTGGTGTCTAAAGAGGTTAGGGAAGTGTCGGCGAAGGTGTCATTGTCCCAAAAGTATGTGGCCCATTTCAGAAACTCAAAGGACTTGATGGATGGTGTAATCAGGTTGTCATGTCTCCCTCCTTTGTCAAAGGCTTGGCACCGAATGACCTGATACATGCCACTCACCGCTCGCCCACTTTGCAAACAATTCTCCTAGGTAAAGCTAGGTGCTGCTGGTTAGCAGATATGTCGAACATGTCCTTCCTTGTTTCTGAAATTATTCAATCCAACCCTAAGCCAATAGTTCTCGCCAAAGCTGCCTCACGTTTCTCCTAAGTTCCATGTCTCAAATAGTCTCAAATCGTTTTGATTCTGGCTCCAAGCTTGGAAGTCATGAAAACTCCGAAACATGTTGTGGCTTCCATGTTTCTTTATGTAGACCTTTCCATACCTTTCCATTTATTTGATTTATTTGGAACGATACCCCGGTGACATATTAAAAGAGCAGGATGGCGTGGCAAACCATGTCTTTGCATTGAACTGTGCATTTCGGCATACAAGGGTAAGACTGGCGTTGGACAGTGGATGTTTTCAGGGCATTCATGGTACCAGGGTGTATAGGTACTTAGCAGCTGTGTTTGTTTCCATGTCAAAGTTTGCAACGAAGCATAGCGAAGTGAGCATGAACTGATCTGATCATTGTTCAGACATCGCTCACCATGGTCATGTATTATGTATGAGCACCTCATTCACACTGAGGTCAAGCGCCAGTCGGGTGACAAAGACCATTGCCACACGCTTCTCCTACCTGCGAGAGTTGAGGGGGTCGGTGACTTAGCCATGAAGTTTCACAGGCCTGGATGCCTTTCAACTGACACAAGAATAGACGAGTCATTCTTGGATGGGCTTATATAGAGTGTTTCGACTCCTCAGTTTCGACTTTTGTCATTTCTTTTCAAGCCACTTCACTTCTGAGTTGCGGTGGTTCCAAATAGATTCTGAATTCTGAGATATTCTGAGTGCAGCTATTTTAGACTCCAAGCTGCATCATACCAAAACAGTTGAACAAACGTGGTGCTCCTAGAAGAGTCTTGCCAGAGCTTTTTAAGTTTCGGAAGTTGCAGACCGCTAACATCAACCCAAAGGCAGCCCTTGGATAGATCGGCAGTCTTCCTAAGCTTCAAAGCTTCTGAGGGCTTGCTCCCATGCTCCGACAGAGAGAGGGAGGGGGGGGAGCTTCAGCCATTAAACTGTCATT